TATTGGTCCCACAGCAGCCCCATTTTTTGTTGTTCATTTTTAGGATGATTTTTGAAAGAGTTAGGAAATTAGGTCATTTTGAACCATTTGTAGCGGCTTTCTCAAAACTTTCTTTCAAGAAACCTACTCAAATTGCAAGGGAAGTGGTTCTTGAGTTTAAGTAAACTAAGTGAAAGGATGATATTAAACCCCAATCACCTCAATTTGATCCATTCCAACACATCCCGCTATAAAGCTTTTTGAAGTAATATCTATAAAACTCAGTTCAGACACATTCCACATGTTACACAATTCCTTACTGGTTCCTCAAATAAAGTTTAAGGTAAACACTAACAACTACTCTTGATAGGCTGTCACTAAGAAAAAGTCCATTTCAAGCAATTCAAATAAATTGGGGGATAATATGTTAGCAGCAGACTATACTTTTTTACAATAATCACAAAAATATGCCTTATTGATTGATTGATTTCGATTAATGAGGTCCATAAAAGGGCTATAAAGCCCCGCTGCAATGAACCCCACAAACACAACAGAAAACATTGATGTATACTTAGCAACTTGCAACATAAATAGCAGGTCATTTCAGAAAGAGCTTTGTGGACAACTTGATCAAAACAGTTTACAGACAGGTTTTGATATTTGTACAGTTCCAGATCGTTCCAAATTTTGCATGCAAATGTGATTTTGTGCCACACGCAGTTAACAACTTGGGAAATAGCACTGATCACTGATCTACCCTAACCTCAACTTGCTCTACCGCATGGTCGTCCGCGTTACACTCACCAGTTCGCTGCGCTCGCCGGGACATCCGCGACGTAGTGTCGAAACGGTGGCGCACTTGCTCGGTATACCCGCTCTCCTTTGCAGAATGTACAGCTGTGAAGTACGCGGTACACGGCGGTTAAATCTTTCTTGTTCACAGGGTCCAGCTGACTTGACGACTGCCACTGGTGCGACGACGCGCGCGTGGGGGACTGGGGGGACGCACCTGGCGGTCCCGCTCCCCGTCCCCTCCCACACCCCCCACACCACACCTGAAACAACGGCCGCTTCACCACCCTTTGCCTGCCACTCTTGTAGAGATATGGCATTGGTTAGATGATCGAGACAACTTCGGCGAAACTCAATTCTCAGCAATCGCGCGCGATAGGGTTCAATACAATAATATCACAACCACACTAGACAGGGAATGACCGACACACACACACACACACACACACACACACACACACACACTTTCTGAGATACCAACTGAGGCATTACTTGTCGCGTTACCAACTAACACACGTTGAGATACATTATTGTTATGGATTAGTGCGAGATTAATGGTTGGATATCTTCTCGTGAGGCAGCGCCCCTCAGACGTCCCACAGACTTCGAAAACCTCTAAGGCGCCTCACCGTGAAGCGACACTACTTGTCTCACGAAACTAGACCACCACAAGACACTAGCTCCTGTATGAGAAACTGCTCATCCCAACAACTCTCAGTCCAGTTACCCTGCGCGGGGTCGCAGTACACGGTAGGGTCCGCGGACCACGCGGCCGGCAGCGGCAGCCGGGGCGGATCGCAGCATCCATTTTTCGCGGTCCAGACAGCGCGGAGAGATGTTCAAGACGGGCGCTGCGCGGGGCGGGGCGCGGGGCTGGCTGCGGGCTGCGGGCTGCTGCATTGAGATACTGAGACGAATGGGGACATGGCGATGTATGGGAGGGAGGGGGGAGAGGGGGGGGGCATTCTGCTCGGGAGAGATATCCTAAGTGACCGCGCCGCCGTGGAGAGAGGGCTGCCCTGGAGGCCCCCCTCCCCGCACTGTACCCAGTCCAGCCGTGGCCTAGTGAGTGATGTTGGGGGACGTGGCTGCCCCATGTCTCTCTCTTCCTTGCACTGACGCTCTCTCGTAAAGACGCCTAAATACCGAGTCGGCGACTCCAGACCCTCTACGGATGACAATCTTTCCAGGAGCCATGGACTCACTGTGGCTGGCTCTCCCAATTCACTGTGGACGCCAAGGGCGCCGCGGGAATAGGGGTGGGGGAGGGGGAAGACGCCCGGAAAAGCCTCGGCCGGAACCGGAACCAGCCCCTCTACTCGGCGGACATCCGGGCATTGTGACCGGAAACGATTGTAATATAAGGCGAAACAGCGGCGGCGGCGGGGCGGCGAGGGCGAGAGAGCAGCCGGACGACGGGGAGGGGCGACTCTCTAGAGCCGCGAGTGACGGCCACCAACCAGGGCGAGGAGGAGGAGGAGCAGGAAGAGGAGAAATGCCGTCCGAATTCTTGACAAGGCAAATATTTAAACAGTCGACGACGGCGGTGGCGGCCGCGACTTTTTGCGAGGAGCTTGCATAATTCTGAGGCTTGCTGCTTCTCCATCTTTGCGGCGCGTCGTTCGTCGTCACGGCTGGACCGGACCCGCCCCGCCGGCCGCCGGCGGCGACGACTCAAAAGATTACAAGGGACAAAAGGAAACAAAATCCAATCGTTAGCCGGGCCTCGGCCGGGCCTGCTCGGATTAGACAACAAATGGTCTCATAAAACAATAATAACCTCGCTAGAATGGAGCGGGGGGCCGTCGCAAACGGCCTAATTAGAATGAGAAATTCGCCCTTGTGCCGGCGGGGGAACGGCCGCGCGCGGCCGGCGCGGCTGCTCGGCGCCGTCTCCTCGTCCTCGTCCTGGTCCTCGTCCTCCTCACTCCGTCAAAACCCGTTTCATTTGTGTGGCAGTCGGCTCGCGCGCGCCAAATCCAAGACAACGACGGGAAGGGCATAAGAAAGAGGGATGATGATGGGGAGGGAGTCGTCATCGTAGATTCTTCTGTTTTAATTGGGGCGCTCGCCTGGCTATGCCTCGCCTGATCAGGAAACTTATTATTGTAGGCACATCAAAGTCGAAGAAATATGCGGCACATCGTAGGCTAGTCGCTCATCTTAATCATATTTACTGTTGCGGGAGAAGGATAGGCACAACAGCCGTCCGGGACGGGCCCCCTCCCGCCGCTCGGCCGCCGCCGTGTACTGAGTGGTCTCCTCCTGCCGAACAGTTGTGTGTGGAGTTGGCGAGTTTGAGGGCGTGAGTACCCCGGCGCACGCTCACTGTGCAGGCTAGATGAGCCCTCCAGGCCGCCACCCCCCAGCCTCCCGTTAATACTGGGATAATGGAGTACACTGCCAACGGGGCTACCTGCCCGGGACCTACCGAATTATAATGCCATTGTTCAATTATACGGAGCACCTCGCCCCGCCACGCCACGCCCCGCCACGCCCCGGGGGAACGCCTGGCGCGGGCGAAGCTCGCTCTGCAGCAGGAAGGTGGTGCCGCTTTAGGGGGGGCGCGCCAGCGGCAACCCTTCTACACTCCGCGAGGGGAAGGGGGGAGGGGGGCGCGGAGGGAGCGCACAACTCGCCCGAGGGACGAGCTGGGCGGATGGGCGTCGTCATCGAGGGCCGATACTATACACACCTCACGGACGAAGAAGGGTTTTGAAAAGTAGTAGGAATAAGGGGAAACTTGTGCCGCCTTTCAATTTTTTCCCCCGCTAAAAACAAACATAACGAGTTTTGCAAACGTGTTGCAATGATAAATGCAACCAGGGTGAGTCCGCCCTCCCTGGCAAAGAGATTGACACGTCAACCCCGTGTGTACCAAAAGAGCGCACCGCGTTCAAGTTTACACTTTCGAAAACTGTGAAACCGGCCGCTGGCGTTCGTTTCCGCGGCCCCGTTTTAATTTCCCGCGCGTTGTCATGAGCGGACGGGGAGGGGGGGGGGGTACGGCTCGGGGCGGATCCTGTTCGGCTCAGCGCTCGGCCGAGCTCTCCCGAACATGGCAGTCTGGCACGCGTCATCGGAACGGACCGGGGGCTCGCGCAGAGCGCAGAGTATCGCATCGATCGCCTGGCGTCACAAGTACGTCACATGACGGTGTTTTGAAAAGGCGTTGGAAAATACTAGACCAACAACGATCAATTTAGCACGTAAATGAGCAATAAGTAGAGGAGTGAGTTTTTTCCGGGAGGCTGCAAATAACGAAGTGTTTCAGGCACTTCCCAATTCATCAATAGGCAGGAAAGGAACGCGTAGGAGAAAGGAAGGTTAGTGGTTCGACCGGTAACCTCCAAAACGAGCGAGGAATACTATTCTCTATATTTAACCCTGTGACAAAAACAGAGCAAATGGAATTGCTGACAACCAAGTGACATCCATGTCATACGGAAAGTATCCCTTTTTAAAGTAACACTCGGTCATTCTATTCAGTGAAAACTGTAAATTAACCAATACTCAGAGCGGTGATTCCCCAGCCCCTGCCTGTCACTGACCGTTGGCGACTTGTTGGCAGCGTACTCCGAAAACAGTGTGTCCACGCAAGCGGACCCAGAACGGCGCGGCGTCTTTCTCTACACAACCCAAAGGCACCCTACTCGTGCTCTCCTCGTTTGAGTGCGACGAGCAAGTGTACGCAATGGCCAGCAGGTTTGTTTATGTTTTATATTTTGACAATGTTGTTTCCGAAACTGTAAATGTGCACCGATGTAATTAGCCACGAGGAAGAAAAGAAAGGTTGTGGAAGCGAAGCCAATTGCTTAATAGTTGATAACTAGTTTTTTAGCTGTGTATCTTTGAATTCGCTTCAATTCGCTTCAGTGTTGCGGGTTTGCCTCCGGTCGTCCGTAAGGCGCCATCGCCCCTGCAGCCCTAGCGACACTAGAGCGGTTCAAAAATATCCCCTGAAATGGTTCAGCCAACTGTTAAGCTACGACAAATTTTTAGCTTCTTGGCTAAATAATTTAGCTATTGGCTTAGCTACCCTATTTCCATTCCCGTATGTGTTAAACGCCATGGCTCCTATAGTAGTGCTTTCGGCATTTTACACGGGCTGAAAGAAGTGCGTTTTGTGGTGTCAAGTAAGTGCCCATCCTTTTCCCCTACAACAAGTACGTCCGCCTGTAACCAGCTTGGCGCTGCTGACGCTGTCGGGCCGGCCGCAGGTCGCCGTGCAGGTGCTGTGCGGCGGCACGGCCTGCCGCACGGAGACGTTCCTGGACGCAGACAAGCCCGTGGTGCGCTTCGTGGCCCCCGGGCCCGGGCCCCTCGTCGTCCGGCTCCACAACGGTGGCGTGGAGAACGGCGTGGTGCTGACGCTCCAGCGCGCCCAGGTGTGCCCGGCGCGCCCCGACGACATGCCCCAACCATCTGTGGTCGCGAGCGACATCCTCCTCACCCACGGGACAAGGCAAGTCCGCGGACGAGGGGAGGACATGTCCTGTCTGTGAGGGGTCGACCGCTCAGATTTTTGGTGTACACATGGAATATCTGGAATATTCGTGGAATATCTGGAATATTTGTGGAATATCTGGAATATTTGTGGAATATCTGGAATATTTGTGGAATATCTGGAATATTTGTGGAATATCTGGAA